AATTTTTCTTGGTAAACACATTTCTAGATTTGACACATTTATATTTGAAGGATTCACCGAGAGAACTTTGAGTCCTTTTATTTAACATTGAATTACTAAAGAATTCAGTGTCAGAAGAACCACAATCAGTGATGGGTGAGGAGCTGACATCAGTATCAGATTTAGACTTATGTACTGAAACACTGCAATCAGGATATTGTTTAAGTTGTTCATGAATAGCATGAAACACTCCATTTGAGATAGGAAATGCAATAATATTTTCAGTGAGAGAAGTTGGTCTCACAAGATGTGCAGGATATGAAGTAGGATCAATTCCAGTAATTTCAATATTACACTCAGTAACACCATTAGAGTCAGTAACACAGTGTTCATCAATGAGAGACTGATTAATAAAGGTGTTGCTGAAAAATGTGTTTTTGAAACTATCTTTTAATTCATTCATGGAATAAAATTCAGATTCTTTTTCTTGAGATTTGAAAACGTTTTCAGCTTCAGCAAAATTTTCCCCAAGGATTTTCTCACATGAATGAGGTATTTGAGTAGAAATAACATAATTAGCATTCTTGTGAGATTTAGCCCAAAGTTTTAAAACAGTTTGTTCTTTGTTCAAGAGGTCTTTAACTTTGTCAATTTCAGCAGATAGTGAGGAATTTGATAAACTAGTAACTCTTAGATTTTCCTGAGTAGTGTCAATAATGTTAATTTTTAAGGATAGTTCAGTTTTAAGAAGATTGATTTGATTTTGCATATCTCTAATGGTTTGATTCTTCTTAGAATTAAGAACACCCAAACACTCAAACATTTTGATTTTTTCATTCATTGAATATGAAACAAAGTTTTGAACCTGATACATTGAAGGAGAATCAGTGTTGTGCTTCCTGGAGTTTTCCACTGCATCAGATATATCAGCATCAAATGAACTGTTGCTGACTTTACATTCATCAGTGTCTTCTATCTTGACCATCAAACACTTAACTTCATCATTTGATGATTCCTCATCAGTCTTCCATTTTTCTTCTTCAGCGACAAGAACTTTATGTTCCAAGTTCTCTGCTTTCAGTTTCTCAACCAGCTTGTTGTAATTCTGCTTCTAGTATTCATCCGAGCTTTGGGTTCTTTGTTTGAATTCTTTTGCAAAATGATCAGTGCTCCCACAATTAAAGCACTGAGCTTTCCCTTTCCTTTCAGTACCATGCTTTTTATCAGCGTCTGATCTTTTTAAAGATTTCCCACTCATCTTCTTCTGAAACTTTGAGAAATTTCGGCCTGATTTCTCAAAAGTCTTCACAATCAAAGCCGCACTAGCCACAACCTTTTCGAGATCATCAGTGTCACTTTTAGAAGAATCAGTGTCTGAATGGTTTTCAGTGTCTGACTCTGACATTTGCTTTTTGTTTGAGAATAAAGCTACTGATGACTCACGCTGAGAATCCTTCATCAACTCCTTTCTCTGAAGCTTGGATTCCTCATAGTATCGAAGGTTTCCATAGAGACTTTGTAAGTCCATAGTGTTGATCTTCTCACTATTTTTCAGCACATCAACATGGTTCTCCCAACCTGCACCCAGAGAATCCAAAAACTTCTACACTAGAATAGTTCGATGCTTCAACTGATCCAGTCTCCGCAGATCATTAACAAGAGTATTAAACCTATTAAAGGTTTGAGTTAGGGTTTCACCTTTCTTTGCAAAAAAGTGTTCATACCTTCTATTTAGATCATTTATTTGAGTAGCCTTGACTTCTTCAGTGCCTTCAAAAGATACAGTCAGCGTATCCATCATCTCTTTTGCTGAGATGCAATTCTGAACCAGCCCAAAGATATTGTATGGCAAAGCATAGCTGATTGCAGCCCAAGCACGAACATCTAGACCATTCTTTCTTTTGTCATCTGCAGTCCAGTTTTCTCTAGGTGTTTTCTTCATAGCACCATCAGGAACGTTGTTTTTCAGGGGCTGATACATCGGAACATATGGACCCTTTTCGATGATGTCCAACATGTCTTCATCTACCGACTCTAATGCATAGAGAGCCTTTATTTTCCACATAGCAAAATTTGTTTCATCAAACAGAGGAATTTTAGCAGAAGGATGATTTGATGAGTTTGAAGAAGAAGAGGATGAAGCCATTTGTTTGATAAAAGAAACCCGCTCTGATACCAATTGAAAGGACCTTAGATCAGTCGATTTATTAAACAATGACTAATAATAAGAACAGAACGATGAAATATCACAAAGAGCTTTCACTAAGAATGATAATCTCACAAAGAGATTATTGTTTGCACAAAGCGGCTATTAGGGTTTGTGAAAGACAACCCCTTCACAAACCCGTACAAAAGATTATATAAAACTATTATAGACAATCCCTACAAATCATGGATGTTACAGCTAACTAATACAAGATAACTATGGAAACAAGATAAATACTAAATCTGTTACGTAAGACTATATATACAAAACATCTTGTATGCTGATGCTGATACTGATGCTGACGCTGATGCTGATGAATTAGTTTCAAACATCATCATATTATAAGGTTCGACCTTACATTCTCTCTTTTAAGGGCTACTAAAATTAGCCGACGAAGAGAGAGTTATGATTTTTATACGAGTTTTAATAGTCTAAGTCTGTTAAAGTTATAACTTGAGAATTAGCTGACGAAGTTTAAATGAACGTTGCAGATCTCGTTGATAGCTACGCGTGGATATAAAGAACCTTGAAAACAGAGCTGGTATGAAGAAGATATGAAATTTACAAAAACCATGTTTTGCATGGCGCACAACTTGTAGAAGGTGCAACGTGGACCACATGAGTTTGACACATGGAAAGGCAGAGAATGGATCAACGTTACCCTAGTGCGCGTTACACACCAATAATGTATGGCGCATATCCTTACTATAATATAGAGTGATGCGGTTTCATTTATTTCTCACTCCTCTCTTCACTCCAACTCTCTCTAGAAACCTTCAACTCCCCCTCGAGTATGATCTTTCTAGGTTTTTGGAGTACTTTAGTGAGGCTCTACGACATCAGAGAGTCAGGCAGAAAAAATGGGTGGGTCGGAGTTCTGCGAGCACAAATTTCGATTCTTGCTAGGATCCCTGTAAGTTAAGCTACACTTTCAAACTTAACTTATATTTATATTCATAGTCGTTGTTATGAATGTATAAATAATATTTATAAGTGATTCCAGTTATAATGCTAATTGATCTAATTATGGGAGAGATGTCTATAATGAGCATGTTGGCTTGGTTGTTGGATTTCTGAAAGACTATATGCCGAAATGGTCCTGCCTCACAACTGTCTGGCCATGCTGATCCTTATTTTATAGAACTCTCAGTATTCGTTGGGATTAATGAAAGATATAGCTTTCATCACTAGATTTCCATAAAGATTAATAAGTCATAGTATTATAGGTTAATACTTGTTAGACATATTTCCTGCTAATTGGATCGCCAGTAGGATCACCCAGATAGCTGTCAATCGTCGAAGTAATTGTATAGCTGAGTTATCTCACTATACCATGTACTCTAATATGTATCCATGTATGTTAGGATAGGGAATGCGTAGAGTAGAGCTAGTAGTATAATCTTTATGTGCTTAAGTGTGAACCGGTAGAGTAGAAAGTATAAATGTGCCTGTATTAGTAGAATCTAAAGTGCAATCTCTATATGTATAATTGTTGTGATATTAGACTTAGGTAGGGGTTGATGGTGGAATAGTTAAAGAGACCGGGAACCTATAGACCCACATATGTTTAGTTAAGGGATGATGGTGGAACGATTAAAGAGACGGGAGCCTACATACCGGCATATTCCAGGATATATATTGGCAGATTGTGAGCCATTGTTTGTATGCATATATATATATATATATATATATATATATATATATATATATATATATATATATATATATATATATATATTGTGGTATATGGTATTTTGGGAAATCACTAAGCATACCGCTTACCTAGTTGTTTATAAATATTTTTCAGAAGCTTCTTGGTTTGTAAGAAGGGCGAGGTTCGACTGTACACACACATATTCACTACATGTTTCCTCACAATGTAATCATACTTTGATATATTTGAATAAATAAAAATGAAAATTTTGGGTTGAAAATCGGGACTTTATAGATGTTATCTAATTGTATATCCAATAATAATGTAGTTGGATATCTAATTCATTGGTTTTACCACCCCAAGCTTAGTAATTGTGATGCTCCGTAAGTGAGGGTACAATCCTTTACAATCTCTCTCATTCTCTCTTCCTATCTATTTCTATCTCTTCTTTCATCTATTTCTCTCTTTCCCCCTCCATCTCACTGCTTCCTTATTGCTAAACACCATTTTTCATTACTAATAACTTGATATATTTTGTAAGGTGGAAGGATTTTATGTGATGTGGCAGCCCTAAACGCGTAAAATACATTGTGATGCATTCCTTATAGCCTTATACATGATACAATACAATTGATAAATATGTCAAACAATTATAATGTCAAACAATTATAATTGATACTGGATTTAAAAAAACTAATACAATATCATCATATTATGTACACCCTTGCTAGTAGGGATGAACATATTAACCGAAAAACCAAATCAACCAATATAACCAAACCATTTTAATAGAATCATTACTAAAACATATGGTGCAGTTTTTAGTTTTGATTAACCGATTACATATGACTCGGTTATAGTTTTCATCTAAAACCTAATCACTATCGAAATACATTAACCAATATTACCGTTTATGGTTCGTTTTTGACAAATAACCGCTTCATGTACGCCCATACTTGTTAGAAAGTTATTACATAAATCATTATTATTATTATTATTATTATTATTATTATTATTTTGTATTTATATATTTTATTTCTACTTCCATTTTGAGTAAAGAGAACCAAAGTATTTTAATACACAAATAATTGGAATAAGATAGAAAGCCACGTGAATATGTCAAATAGAGAAGATCGTACGTTTTTTATATATATATAAAGATCTGATTTGATCAATGGAACCTTGTTTCTACCTCACCAACAACCCCATTTCTCTCGAAACATCGGAATCTCTATTGGTACAATGCTCCGACTTCAACTGTGTGCACGCACGTTCTTCAGCTCCGGAGCGGGCGACTTCGCCGATCATCAAACTTTATTCTCCACTCAGCTCCGATGCTCATCACCTTCAATTTCATATTCCACTCCTACAGTAAAGCATTATCGTCGCCGGCGCTCGAAATCGGTTGTCATATCTTGTAATTCTTCTCGCGGTAGAAGATCTAAAGACTATGACTATCAAGATGGTGATGATTACTTGGAAGCTTCTGTTCTCATGACAGGTATCACTGTCCCTTTATCAGAATCTGATGTGATATATGACAATCTAGATGATTAAGAGATTTTTATTTTGTTTTGAAGCTTTGAAGTTAATTTTCTTCAGTTGAATTCTCCATATTTGACGAATTAGTTTTGTAGGTCGTCGTATCACTTGTTTAAAGTCCTCTCAGTCTTATGTTTCGTCTGTGTGTAAAATTCTAACTGCACTCTATATAGTGTAGTCTGTAGAACATTTACTGATTTATAGTTTGGAGTTTTATTTTGAGATTTGTGACTTGTGAGATCGTATAGGGAATATGTATGAATGGTTGTGCAATAGATTAGATTACCAGAGCTCTACCACTTTAACTTAACACGAGCAGTTTGTATGCTATTGCTAATCAAATTACTATCAATTTAACATAATGTCAATTGCCAGTGGAGTTATTTTTAGGCTTCCAATTACAACATTAGCTTACCTAATCTACTGCATAAACCATTCATACACATTATTAGCATACCCTTGACAAAAAGCTACTCTAAGTTCAAAGGTCCAATCTAGTTCACTGGACAAGACAATTTTTCTAGGGCTATGTTCCATAATGAGGATTAGGAGGGCATTCATGTCTTTTACACAAACAAGAAACTAAGAGCTAGTTATGTCCCACCTAGGATGCTTCTTATCCAGTGGTGTTCAATCTATTGAGTTGAATTTGTTATACTCTCTGTAACTAAATATGTCTATAAAATTGTTGGGATTAGTGGAAAAAGTGTAACAATTGATGTTTTTAGTCAAATCTATAGTTTTGGATTATGATTATGAATCTTGGGTTCCTTTTATTTTTGTGCAGAAACACTAATGCACTATCAGATGCACATACAAGGATATCAAGAAGCAATAAATTGGAAACCTACTGCAAGGTTGTTTCCAATATCTGGTAAAGGAAAAGGTCTTAGAAACAACATCCATACATTTGGACCCGAATTTCTTAGCCAATATCGAAATCCCACTATCTTTCTTAAAATCTCATGTGATTGTGATGGAGATTATTTGCTACCAATTATCGTAGGTAAATAAATGCATTCATCATGCTGTTATATTTGAAGTTTTATCCAACTATTGTTAACTGTAATAACACTTTATATTAATAAATTGTAGGGGAATATGCTGTTGAAAAACTAATAAGCTCCACACTGGAAGATGAGGTTTAGGTTGTTTATACTTAAAGAGAAGTTCAATAGAATTTCTATATTAACTTTTTATTTTTTGTTAAATTGCAGGGATTCCCAAATCATTTTCAGCTTGTGAAAAATATTGTTGGGAAACTTGGCTATGAAGTAAGCAGATGAATTTATCATGCACTTATATAATATTTTATTTTTTGGGTGAAATGCAAGAAACAACAACGGATTTTTATTGATTTGTTTATTGTAACATGATAACATCTTACTTTCATTTCTTCCTATTACAAAATTGTTTTTCAAAACTTCTACCCCATTATAGCAATTTCAATACAAATTCTAAGCATTTTCATTGCCATATTTGGAAAGCTTGAAAGTACAATGCTACAATTGGATACATTTTTCAAAGTAAAATGCCTTAATAAAAAAAAAATTAAAAGTACAATGGTGCAACAGGAAGAAGTTAAAGTAGGAACAGACCTTTTGTTTCCTCTAATGCTGCCTTTGTTTTTTTATTTCAGGTAAAAATGGTACAAATTACAGAAAGAGTGGATAGTATATATTTTGCTAATATATGTTTTCATAAGGTAAATAAAGAACATATCACATATTCACATAAGACCCTATGATTATAATTTTCTATGAAGAGATGAAGTTAATTTGAGTATTTGACCATTTTGACCTTGATTGAATTTCATAACTTGCAGCCTGGCACAGAAGATATTAGAGTTGATGCTCGCCCTTCAGATGCCATAAATGTAGCTAAAAGATGCCAGGTACTCTCTCTCTCTCTCTCTCTCTCTCTCTCTCTCAAGTTTGCCTTTTTTACACAGACATAATTGGACTAGCTTTGTAGGCTTTGATAACAAGGACAAAAAGGGTATTCACGTCTTTTGTACAAACGCTAGACAGAGGACAAGTCCCTGTCCTACCTTTTTGGATGATACAAAAAGTTACAGTTTTTTTCCTATTGACATCAGTCTCTTTCCATCTTTTTGTATGAGACAAAAAATGACAGTTTTTGTCTTATTGACTGACATCAGTCCCTGTCCCACTTTTTGGGCGGGACACAAAATTACAATTTTGTCCTATCGACATCTCGTTCCACCTTTTTGGGTGGGATGATAAATTTACATTTTTAACCTTTTGTAAGCAGGCACCGATTTATGTAAGCAAACAAATTGTGTTGGCTGATGCTGTTAAGATAGTCTACGGGGTGAACAAATTGCGCGATAAAAAACCGACATATGACGTGTTTTTGGACAGGTATACCCTCCACCTTTCTCCTGTTTCTGTAAAATTAAAATCCCAAAAATACCCTTCCTTGTCATTAACATGGTTTCAAATTTCGTTATACAGTGCCATAGATGGTCCAGATGTTCTTGCTGAGGAGCTTGATTTGGTTACAAAAATGAACCTTGCTGTTAAGGATGAAAGATACAGTGATGCAGGTTTTTATTTATTTATTTATTTTTTTATAGTTTAGCAATTTTTTTAATGTTTCAAAAGCAAATCTCTAAATACGATTTTTATACTGCAGCTATGTGGAGGGACAAACTATTGAAGCTACGTTTGCCAAAAAACAACCCATAGGATTTTTATAGCATTGTAATTTTAAGTTATTTCTTATTAAGAAATAATTTGAAAATACAATGCTGTGATTAAAATTTTGGATGATGATGATGATGATATGAAAAAAGTTCTTGCATTCTAAAAAATCCAGAAATATTTATGGAATTTGTTGGTGCTTGAATGGAACTTCAAACCATTTGAAGATACAGTAATGAAGATGAGATTAAAAGATCGAATTATCAAAATTCAAAACTATATGAATGTAAATATTTTGATATGTACAGCTTTAATGCCATTATTTATGTGGAAATTGATGGTGTTTTCTTGTAAATTGTTATTGGTGGATGGTAATTTTATTAAAAAAGTGTAATGATATGTCTTTTAGAATGTTGTGAAATCTGAAATGTAACAATGATTTTGGTTTTACTAGTGAAGTAAAATGCGTGGGGTGATGATTTTGTGTACGAAGAGTGAATTCAAAGTTTAGTATTGGAGTTTTTCTTATCGGGGTCGAATAAATTATGTAAAGTCAAAAAAAGCTATTGTGGGAGCTTTTTCATTTTTTTACATTGCTTGTAATTTACAAGCTCAATAGATAGATTATTTTCATACTTTTAATACCAATTTATTAATTTACTTTACAATTTGATGTTGGTAATCGTAGTGATGATATAATTTGGGTTGGGTACAGGTTCAATCAATTTATTAATTGGGTTGAATATTTCAATCCAAACCAACTTTCTTTCTTTTTTTTTTTTTTTTTTTTTTTTTTTTTTTTTTTTAAATGGGTGGATATTTTCAACCAAACCAAACATTTCAGATAAATGGATTGTTATCAAGTTGACTCGTTTATGTAATTTTCAATCCAATTTGGGTTTAAACTTGGGTTAATTCATTTAAAATAAAAAAGTAAATAAAATAATTAAAGATTACACCACTTAAATTAGTTCTAAACTTAAATAAACTTTTAAAGTATAATAAAAAAACAATCTTAATTCACAAATATCAAAAAATTGTTCAAATAATATTAAAGATATGTAATTTCGAAGTGATTTTGAAGAGTGACTAGTGTTGTTGACATAAAAAAAAAAAAAAAAAAGATAAGAATTATGATTGCATTTTAAAAAAAATAAATGACTATACAACATTGTAATTTATAAATTAATATTTAAATTAATACATGATAATATTTAAATAATTATTAAAGTAAATTTATATTAAAGTTAAATGACTCATTTAACTTAAATATGTTGAAAATCTCAACCCAACTTTTTAATTTTAGGCTAGATTCGAATTGGAGACCAGACTTTATCCAAAGGAAGTTTACAGCGCACAACATCCCATAATTTTTTTTATTTTATGTTAAAAATGGGTGTCAAAGTATATTTTGAGAGACAAAATATATTAAAAGTCTTGTAAGAGAGATTTGTTGTAGCTTAGTAGTTAGGGCATTTTCGATTTACTCTTAAACTCTTATTTTTTTCTTTATTTTCCCACTCTTTTTAAATCCTACCACATTTCTATATCCATTTTGGAGATATAAAAATATTCTCCGATACTCAAAAAATGGAGTTGAAGTTTCGGTTGCTAATTTCTCTCTCTCTCTCTCTCTCTCTCTCTCTCTCTCTCTCTCTCTTTTCTTTTTGCTTTATTTTTTTTTTAAATTTATACATTTCTAATTTATTTTTATCTACTAATTATAATTTAAATGCAATATTTAATATTTGTAAAATCATGTTATATACTAATTTATATTAATTAATCATAAATATAAAGTTTAGTATTTATTTATCGAATTCATATAAAAAATTAAAGATATACTAAAGACTTGAAATACGGTAACATAAATTATAAAAATTTATAATTGAAATATATCTTACAAACACAATAATATATTCTAATAAAACATCGGTACTACATGACATAATAATTACATGAATTATTTTATATAATATAGTAATCGAATATGATCGTGATTTTGATATATTTATTATAAATAATCTTATTTATTTAATAATTATTTATAATAAATTAATAATAAATACAAATTTATTATATATAAACAATTTATTTATGATAATACAATTTGTAATATTACTGTAATAAAAAATATAATATATATTTATTAAAATCTAATTAGTAAAGATGTATATTTGATAATATATATAAGTTGCAAAAATAAAATATTCTAAGAATATTTTTTTTGGAGTAAAAAATAAAGTAAAAAATGAAATAGAATTGAAGATGAAATACTATTTACTTAATTTTTTTACTCTATTTATAGAGGAAAAAATAGATATGGGTTGGAGATGGTCTTAAAGTCGCAAATGATATATTTTTGTCACAAAACATCTATTTATCATTAGCCACCAATAAGCACTATTCTTTAAAATGCCAATTAATTTCACAATGCTTGCATTTAGATGCAGAAAAATAGTTTTTGTTTTTCGTTTTCAATTTTTAGAAAAACAAAATAAGTTCTAGCTAGAAAATTTAGAAAATTTGTTTAGATAAAACCTATTTAGTTTTTATTTTATGTTGTAGAAAATTAGAAAACATATTTATATGTATATATATATTTTTATCGATTTTCATTTTTAGAATACAATGGTGATGGTGGTGGTGGCGCGAAAATGGTGATGGTATTGGTGGCGATCATGACTGCGGAGGGGGGATATTGGTCATAATGGAGGCGATAATAGTGGTGTGGTGATGATGGCTACGAGGACATTAATTTTAAAGATTGCTACAATAAAAAAAACTTCAATTTTTTTAATAGAAATTTATAATTTGCAAAAAAAAAAATTGAGAAGTTTATTACGAAGAATAATGTGTTAGAAAGATTATTTTTTGGTGGGTATCAAACTTTAAATAGTTCACTTGAGCCATTGTAAATTGTTAGCATTTTTGGAAAATAATAAAATTGGGTAATTTCTTTTCGTCACTACATGCATGTTTCTCAAATCCAACGACAACAAAAACATCAAGACAAGGTGTGTATATATTTTGGTAATTTTCGATCTTTAAACGGTATTAAAGACACTTTCAACTTTCGTGTCGCACACCATCTGCTCGGTCAAATTCCTCAAAGAAGTTTTCATAGTCTTCTTGAGTGCAATGGGTCGATTTCATGATTCCTCAAAGAAGTTTTCACCGGTTTATATAAATCCAGTCTTTGGAAGATTAAGATGCACGCATTACTAAAACGATAAGGTATACGACTTCCACTTACCGGGAAGAAGCCCACAAGTGTAGATGATGGATAGTTAGAAGAAAATGCACATTCTACCATTTTGCTATCTCCTTCAGATGAGGACGAGGTACTACACGAGGTAGTTGATGAAGAAAGTGCAATGAGTTTATGGATGAAACTCGAGTTTCTTTGCACTACAAAGTCCCTAACGAGTAAGTTGTTGCTAAGATAACCTTGTTCTCCCTTAGAATGAAACAACATTTTGTTTTGAAAGATCATTTAGATAAACACAATTTGATCCTAATAGACTTAAAGAACCGAAAGGTAAAGATGGTGGATAAATGGATTCTCAATGGATCATCTAAGGTTACCTTTGAAAGGTCTAGTATGATCAAGAGTCATATTAAAGTGATATTGCTAAATAACATATGATACTAATGGGCCACACTAACAACAACTTGATACAATTGATTATTTATTAGAAATTGATTTTAATAAATATTCAATAAAACTCTTATAATTAAATTGGAAAGTATGTATTTCATAGAAATAATAATTTTCATTAGCAAGTAACATTATATTATTTCATATGGTATTAATTAAGAAGTCATGCACAACTTTTTGGACTAGTTGAAAACCTTTTGTCTTTTACTCAAAAGATAAAGTTTATATTTTATAAACATTGAGTTTATAGTATTTAAACTAACTTTCCTCTTTTTATATTATTTTTCGGAAATTGATAAAAGGAAGAAAAGTATGGGTTTTCCATTAGTTTATTCAAAAGTAATGAAGCATGGGAGACATGTTTATGACATGGGGACACAAGTGCTTAAAGTGTTAAGACCTAATGGTTAATACTTTCATTTTATGCATATATATAAGGGGCTTGCATTTGGCTAGTTGATTCATTCTTCCTTTGAGGCAAATAGCCGAATCCTCCTTCTCCCCTCTCTTTCTCTCTAGTTTTGGTTAGAAAACTTGAAGAACACTTGCATCTTCATGCCCTCTTCAAGTTCATATTGGTTATGAACTTAAAGATTAGGGGTTTAAGAGTTATGGACGAGTAGGGATGCCAAAGTGAAACCCTAATTTTCAGGGTTTGCACCCTATTTAAGGACCTTAACACTTATGTGTAGCCTTCCTCATCACCTCCCTCCGTTCATCAAAACCCTAATTCGTGATCTTAAGCCTTTTGAGTGTGTGTGAGTGAAAAAAGAGTGATTTCTTGGTATTTCCTTGAAGGAGTGGAAGTTAGAAGTGCTTGGTTGAAGGAAGAAGATTTGGATCCAGAGAGTTCTTTGTCAAAGCAGCTTTATTGAGGTATAAAGTATATACCTTGACTATTCATTTACTAGATCTCTTCATGGAGTAGTTTAGGGCCTTAAGGAGCCTATTTTGGAACCATTCATGGATGCAAGCATGTTTTGGAGTCATGACTTCAGATCTAGATCCTTTAAGGGACTCCATGGCATAAATGTGCCAACTTTATGGCCATAGGAGTCCTATGAAACTTGTGAACCACTTTTTAGGGCCTTTTGAGCTAAATAACCCATGCATGGACGTAAAGTTAGAAACTTTACGTGATATATTGACCCTAGGTAACCAAATATATGGTTTGGATAAACTCGACTGGAAACGACTGTATGGATTTAGACTATGGGGAACTCGACGAGTTGTTCATACAACTCAACAGGTTGGTTTGTGGTCCCCCAACTTTTTCTGTTACTGGGCAACCTCGTTGAGTCTAGGATATGACCCAACGAGTTGGCCATGGTTTTGGGTTATGGAGATTGAGGAACTCGACGAGTTCAAGGAAGGACTCAACAAGTTGTGAGTGAAAGGTACCGACTATGTTATGAAGGGAACTCCATGAGTTCATGAAAGAACTCGACGAGTTGGATCGTGGCTCCAACCTTTTCTGGTTACTGAGCAAACTTAGTGAGTCTAGGAGATGACTTAGTGAGTTGGCTACATTTTTGAGGCTTTGAAGATTGCAGAACTCGACGAGTTCAAGCGAAAAGTCACGATTCTATCATAAGGAAGAACTCGGCGAGTTAAAGGGTAACTCGACGAGTTGGATCATGAGTTCGAGGTTCTCTGATTTATGGAACTCGGCGAGTTGATGGACCAACTTGACGAGTTGAGTCAACCATATGTTAACTTTAACTAGTGTGTTGACCTTGACTTTGACTTTGACTTTGACCTAAGTTGACCCTTGAAGGGGTTATGAGTATGAAAGGGTAATTAAATGAGATTTTATGTGTAGGAGTTTGAGAG